TGTCAGCTGTCCTCCATGCACTACTTTGCACTGTAGTCCGTCGTAAAAGTTCCGGATAATATTGACAATCTTCTCAGGAACTCCGTAGTGTCGAAGAAGTTTCTATAATGTCCTCCTATCTACACTGTCGAATGCCTTTTCATAATCAATGAAGTTGATGTATAGTGATGAGTTCCACTCAACTGATTGTTCTACGATGATCCGTAGTGTTGCAATTTGGTCTGTGCACGAACGATCCTTACGGAATCCAGCTTGTTGTCTCGAATTTGAGCGTCTACTGCGTTTTTCATCCGGTTCAGTGACGCTCTGTTAAAGACTTTCCCTGTTACTGATAGTAGTGTAATGCCTCTGTAGTTCTCACGTTTGCTCAGATCTCATTTCTTTGGAATCTTGACGAGGTGTCTTTCTTTCCAGTCCATAAGCATTTGTTCCTCCTCCCAAATCTTTTTGAATAGAAGGTGAAGCATGTTTGTAGTTACTTCGATGTCTGACTTCAGTGCTTCCGCTGATATATTGTCGGGTCCTGCTGCTTTCCCGCTCTTGATTTGTCTGATGGCAATTTTGATTTCTCTGAACGTCGGTGGGTTGACATTTATAGGAAAGTCTATAGGTGCTGCTTCGATGTTCGGTGGATTCATGTAGCTGGTCTATTCAAGATATCCTCAAATTGTTCTACCCATATGTTCCTTTGTTCTTGAATCTCAGTGATCTGCTTGCCTTCTTTTTCCTTGACTGGTCTCTCTATTTTACTATATTTCTCTGAAAGTTTCTTCGTTGTATTGTAAAGTTGTTTCATATTTCCTTCTCTTGGAGATTTTTCCGCCGTTGTTGCTAGTTCTTTCACGTATTTCTGCTTGTCGGCTTTAATGCTCTTCTTCACTTGCTTGTTTGCGTCCATGTACCAAGCTTGTGCTTGGACTTTCTCTGCTCGCGTTCAGCTGCTGTTAATTGCTGTCTGCTCCTTCCTTTCCTTGATCTTGTCCAGTGTTTCTATAGAGATCCATTCCTTATGATGATGCTTCTTTAGGCCCAGAACCTCTTGACATGCTGCAGTTAATGCTTCTTTGATACACTTCCAGTTTCCCTCCATGGTGATTTCTTCTTCCTTCAGTAGATCCTGTAAGGCTTGGAACCTGCTGTTGGTAGCTATCTTGAATTCATTGGGTTTTGTCAGTATCTCGAATGAAGGCTGTATTGAACCACTGTAGTGCTGTTTGTCCAGTTGTTCAGTTTTTCTTTAGCTTCAGTTTTAAATTGGCCAAAACTAGGTGTAGGATCCAAACCACGGTTTGGATGTTGAGGAATAGCCGACTGAGGACCTTAGACACGCGCCTTATCCCGTCGAAATCAAAACAAGTAATCGGGTAAATAGCGGTTCTATAATTCATCATAAATTTAAATGTAAATCGTTGCCTAAACAAATATTACCACCCGGCTATTCAACCAATGATTGTTCAATCAATCAAATCTAAATTACAATAAATAAAGAAGTTGATAGAAGATGAGGAAAAATTACCAGTTACAACAAATGAACGTTATTCTATCCTGACTGGATAGATCACACACAACAGGAGGAGCAAATCAATATGGCCACCGCCAAGAACAAGTGTCAAGTAAAACAACACGGATGCAGTTCAGGAAGAAACACAAACTTAGTGAATGCGTAATAGAAACAAAACTATAATAAAAATACAAGTATAAACAATTCAAATGTAACCAAAATACAACAATGTACAACTAAGGGGATCAATAGGAACAAAGTACAAGTATATCAATGGAGGGATTTTCACCAACACACAAAACATTCAAAATGGATCTTACACCGGCCCCCAAAATCCCTCCATACCACACAAGCTACCTTGATGCCTACGGTCATGGTTCATTATATAACATATTACACCATAGGAACGAGTAGGACTTACAGCAGTTCGCCTACTCGACCTACCTAAACTGATAATACGAGGAACTAATTCGAGCCTTCAAGGAGGCATAATCTACGTGTATCTCTCCTGACTAATCCACCGTTCGTACGAACAATCACTGTTCTAACCCTTCCGTCGTCATCTATTTCACAATCTTCAACTACGCCCAAGGGCCATTTTCCACGAGTCGATATGTCCGAAGCTACGATCACTACATCCCCTTTCTGAAAATTGCGGTGTTCAACTAACCACTTTTGACGTTTTTGTAGGGACGGTAAATACTCTCTTAACCACCTTTTCCAAAACACATTAGCAAGATGATTAACCTGTTTCCAACGTTTGTCATATTTATCTCTGATGCTACCTTCTTCGACTATTCCGTCACATTCTCTCAATAATAACAAACTATTTGGCGACAAGGCTAGTTTATCGTTAGCATCTTGAACGACCGGAGTTAAGGGTCGATCGTTCAATATCCTTTCAATTTCAATCAAATAAGTGTTTAAAGTCTCATCGGTTAGAGTCTGCTCTCTAGTTATCAACAATAACAGTCGGCGTATGGACCTAATCATCCTTTCCCAAACTCCACCCCTGTGGCTGGATGCGGGCGGGTTAAAATGCCACTGAATCTGCATAGCTGACAGTTCTTTGTCTATTTTCTGTTGATTCAACTGTTGCACAAATCTCCTTAACTCAGAGACCGCACCCACGAAATTTGACCCATTGTCACTGTAAATTTCGGCAGGTTTCCCTCTTCTTCCAATAAAACGTAACAAGGCCATTATAAACGAATCAGTATTCAAACTATGTGTCATTTCAATATGTACTGCTCGGGTTTGCAAGCAAGTAAATACACATCCATATCTTTTTTCTAATGATCTTCCTCTTTTGACAAAAAGGGGTCCAAAGTAGTCTACTCCCACGGCTGAGAAGCTATACCATCCTTGTTGCACTCTACAAGCTGGAAGTGGTGCCATCAATTGTTGCCCTGTAATCATCGTATACCGCCGGCAGGTCACACACTTTCCTATCACTCTCTTAACCGTGCTGGTTTCTTTTATTATCCAATACCTTTTTCGAATCGTGGCCAGTACTTGTGACGTTCCTGTGTGCCCTTGTTCCTTATGATGATGTCTAATTATCATTTCTGTCACTAAGTGTCGACTGGGCAATATTATTGGATGTTTAAAGACATTTGAGAAATCTGAGTAGCTTAGTCGACCTCCAACGCAGAGTAACCCATCAAGCATTATCGGTGATAAGCCCTTCAGATCATTGTGACTAACTACTTTACCATTGTTTTTAAATCCACTAAGTATTTCTCCATACACTTCTTTCTGAACCATCAATAAAATTTTACGCTTGGCGATGTCAAGTTCCTTGACCTTTAAACATCCTAGATGAACGGATCCTTCATGACTCGGTGAACGAAGCACCATCAGAAATTCTATGAACCTTCTAAGCCAGGCTACGGCCCTGACTAATTTCAACCACTCGGAGTAATAAGAGAGAATAGGTGACATGTTGTGCTTTATACTACTCAACTTAACCACAGCAGTTTTTCTAAACTCAATATCGTCAGGAGTAGGTTCCGGACAGTCGGTGATTGTTGTACAGAATTCGCCATGCAGTAAGGTAGGACATTTGAACCAAGATTCCAGATCAGTCATTTTTTGTATACCTCTTGATGTCCAATCAGCTGGATTCTGTGACGACTTTACATAATTCCATTGTTCAACCTTTGTATACTGGTGCACCACAGCGAGGCGGTTGGCTATATAGGTGCTATATCGGTTCTCAATATTCTTAATGTAGTATAACACTATCATGGAATCTGTATGGAAATTTACTTCGCAGAAAAAATTAGGCAGACTTCTCCGTAATACTTCACTAAGCCTCACACTTAACACCGCTGCCGCCATCTCAAGTCTCGGTATAGTGACTTGTCTGATAGGTGCTACCCTAGACTTGCTGTACAACAGGACACAATATGGTGGCTCCTTCAAATAGCTGACTCGTGCGTACGCAACTGCTCCATAACCAACCTCTGAAGCATCACTGAACAAGTGCAATTCCACTTTCGCGTCGGGTTCGTCGATTCTCCTCTTGATACCTCGAGCTACCGTGACGTGACCTATCTGACGCATAAAACTTACCCAGCCTAGCCACGCGGACACGTATGGCTCGTTGAGAGGCTGATCCCAGCCTATTTGGGACCTACATAATTTTTGCAAGAGAAGTTTGGCAGTAAGACAGACTGGAGCAATTAGACCCAGAGGATCGAACAGAGAAGAAACTATAGATAGAATACCTCTCCTAGTCAGAGGCCTTTCCGGTGCATCAAAGTAAAACTTAAATACATCTTGTTTAAAATCCCATTCTACACCTAGGGTTCGATGAGTAGTGTCGTAATCCATTGACATTTCTATCAAGGACTGTTCTTTACATACATCAGGCAAGATGTTCCTTACCTCCTCCGAGTTGGTAACCCATTTCTTTAGTTTGAAACCTCCTCTACATAATAATTCACTTATCTGCTTAACGAAACTCTTTGCTTGATCGCAAGTGGGGAAAGATACCAAGCAATCATCAACATAGAAATTATTCTTAACAGCATCTACGACATCACCATCAGAGAATATTTGGGCCGTCTTATTCAAGGCAAAGTTCGCGCAAAACGGCGATGATATGGCGCCAAATGGATGAGATGTCATTTGGAACTCGGATGGTTTTTTCGACATGTCTCCCTCCTGCCACCACAGAAATCTTAAAGCTCCTCGATCAGACTCAGGGACCTTCACTTGCATGAACATTTCTTCAACATCCGCAGAGATTGCGATTGCTTCTTTGCGAAAACGCAATAATATACACACTAGCTCAGCAGTTGTGTCGGGTCCTTGATAAATCATATCGTTTAGAGAAACGCCTGCAAACTTGGTGGCACAGTCAAGGACTACTCTGTTTTTCTGGCTTTTTCGGATTTATAACTGCATGGTGAGGCAAGTACCAACGGGGGCGATAACTAGGTTGCAATTGTAGTTCAGGGATCTTCTCCGCATAGCCCTTAATAAAGTTACTTTAAATACCTTTTGTACACTTGATATACAGAATGTCATCTTTCAACAATCTACGCTTCAAACTCTGTAGTCTACTGCTTGCCACTTCATAATTCTCCCCTTTCATATTTGGGTTCACTTTCCATGGTATAGGAACTACAAAATGCCCATTTTCGAAGCGTGTGCCCCCTTCCACAATCCTTATAGCCGCCTTATCTTCTAGTGATACTGATTTATCATTTGAATAAACAGAAAACTCTACATCATATAGTTTACGCATTTCGTTCTCCAAGGTCTGTATCTTACTGGTATGATTGACCACTCTTTTCCTATATTCCGGATACGACGCAGGTCCGAAGACCGACCAACCCAGCATCGTCTTCACAGCGTACGGGCTTTTTCTTCCACCCAACCGCTGGTCTAACACCCAGTGCGCTTCTGGTACGTCGCAACCAATCAACAGCAGAACTTCTTCAGAGTCGAAGTTATCTATTGGTACATCCCTTAAATGTGGCCACTTAACTAGGTTGTTCACTGCCGACCTTGTTGGCTTATGACCTGGTATACCTGCCACAATCAGAGCTCCTTCGATCGTAACATGTCCTGACCGATCTAAAGAATATACCTCAAAAGGGGTCTTTGTGACCGTCATTGTCCTATTACCGCCCACAGTCTCTACTACCACTGACGCTCGGTCTTCCTCCAGCCCGAGATACCTCAAACAGCTCGATTTTATCAACGTTACATCAGACCCGTTATCCAACAAAGCATAACCAAACATTTCGGCATCTCCTAACATCAACCGTACAGGGATCATTCCTATGCACACTTGGCTACTTAGGGATTTAGTAAATCCACAACAATTCGGGATATCAGGTTTATCATTTTCGCTGTGCAGCCAGGAATGGTGTTTCTTCTCACAACCATTAACGTTACAACGTTTCGCCAGCTTACATTCATTAACTTTATGCCCTTGCCTAAGGCAGACAAAACAGATCCCATTAACTTTCGCTTGAGACCATCTCTCTTGAACGGTAAGCGCTAAAAATTTGTGACATTTATAAATAGCATGGTCCTGGAAACACACTCTGCATTTAGCTCTCGAGTTACTCTCCTGCTCTAATCGCAAGTGACAATTTGTCTTTAAGTTGTGTCCCTTTCTCGGACGATTCGCTAACCGTCCAAACTTACTATCAGCTACTCTCGCGCGGGATGCTATAAATTGAATAAGCTCGTCAAAAGTCGGTTCTCTATTATCTTCCGTCAATTGACCCACCCGATCCGCCCACTGGGCTTGCATAACTTCAGGTAATAGTCTTACTATTCTTTCCAAAGTAACTAAAGAATTTAGATCAGAGGTATAATTCATCTGTTCTAAGTCCATAGCACAGTTTTCCATTTTAATGGCCAAGTTTGATAGTTGCTCCCCGTCAGTATAATCAAAATTAACAGCGCTAAATAAATCTTCTAATGTTTCTCAAGCGATTACGTGAGACCGTCCGAACAAACGCTTTAGAATTTCCCTTGCTCTTTTATAACCAGAGGATGCTTCCATCATGACACAACCCTCAATAGCTGTCTTCGCCTTGCCCTTACAATAGTGCATGAGATAGAGCAAACGTTGACTATCATCGGTGACTCTTGATGCTATATACGTCTCAAATTGTCTTATAAACTTCCAGTATCCTTTCGGCTCTCCATCGAAATAACTCAATTCAACCTTTGGTAGTTCTGGGCCAACAACCGGCGCTATAGGCAACATGCCCTTTCCTAGTAATTCAAGCCTTTGTTTCTCCTTTAAACTAAGGTTTTTTACGTCATCTGTCATCGAATTAAGACTAGAGTCACTACTATGATAATCAACCCTATTCGAGTCTGAACCATGACACTTAAGGACATCAAAAGGCACTTGCTTGGTAATAAGGGATTCTTCATTAACATCAACGAACTTTGAGCTTGATTTCCTTCGACGATTAGTTGGCATTATAAGTAAAACGACCAATTATTTCCAGAAACGATAACCAAAATCCGCCAAATGATTTCGGCCAAACAATATTTGTTTAGAACTGTAGAATCCAAACCACGGTTTGGATGTTGAAGAATAGCCGACCGAGGATCTTAGACACGCGCCTTATCCCGTCGAAATCAAAACAAGTTATCGGGTAAATAGCGGTTCTATAATTCATCATAAATTTAAATGTAAATCGTTACCTAAACAAATATTACCACCCGGCTATTCAACCAATGATTGTTCAATCAATCAAATCTAAATTACAATAAATAAAGAAGTTGATAGAAGATGAGGAAAAATTACCAGTTACAACAAATGAACGTTATTCTATCCTGACTGGATAGATCACACACAACAGGAGGAGCAAATCAATATGGCCACCGCCAAGAACAAGTGTCAAGTAAAACAACACGGATGCAGTTCAGGAAGAAACACAAACTTAGTGAATGCGTAATAGAAACAAAACTATAATAAAAATACAAGTATAAACAATTCAAATGTAACCAAAATACAACAATGTACAACTAAGGGGATCAATAGGAACAAAGTACAAGTATATAAATGGAGGGATTTTCACCAACACACAAAACATTCAAAATGGATCTTACACTAGGTGGTGATCTGAAGCTATACCAGCTCCTCACATCTTCCATTTTCCTTCGGAATTTTTCATAGATGCAAATATGATCTATCTGGTTCTCTGAGGTGTGGTCCAGTGAGATCCATGTAGCCTTGTGTATACGTTTGTGTGAAAATATTGTGCCGCCTGTGACCAATTTGTTGAATGCACATAGATCTGCAAATCTCTCCTCATTCTCCTTTCTCTCTCCCAGTCCATGTCATCCCATGTTATCTTCATATCTGGTGTTGTCTATTCCGGCTTTGAAGTTTATATCTCCTATCAGAATGGTGAGGTCCTTTTTTGGGTACTTCTCTATAATTGGCTGCAGCCACTCGTAGAATTGATCTTTAATGTCGTCGTTGCTATCATTGGTGGGTGCATAACATTGGATAACATTCATTGTGACCCTCTCCTTTGTTTTGAATGATGCTTTGATGATTCTGGATCCATGAGATTCCCATCTTACAAGTGCATTTCGTGCTACTTTGGACAGCATTAGAGCAAATTCCTGAGTGTGTGGAGTATTTTCCTCTACATGATCGGAGCATAGTAGCATCTCTCCCGTATTTAGCCTTTGTTGTCCAGCTTCGGTCCAATAAGTTGCGCTGATTCCCAGTACTGCCAAATTGGAAACAAATACCCCCTTCCCAAGTTTCAACGATTGAGTTAAGGTAACCTAACAATGTCCTTTTTTATTTTAGGGACACAAATTCAGGCTTGTACTTTATGGTATATACCGATGCTACTCTTGGTATCATTCTTCAGAACAAAACTGAGCTGGGTCGAGAAACTTCCTCAGTTACACCTGAAGTTGCTGACAACACTAATATCACTATGTTTGGGCGGAAACATTCGGCACTAGACTTGGGGTTTAGGAGGCGATTCTCCTGGGTTTTCACTGTAGCCGGTTTAGACCTAGCGATCTTGGGAATGGACTTTACAAGATGTGAGTTTTTAGTCGATACTAAAAAACGACGTTAAACACTGAAAGAAATTTCGAATTACACAGAAAGCAAAGAAAGTCACATCACGTCTCTAAACGTGGTACAAAATCAGCCGGTAGCAACGGCGAAATTCCAGAATATACTCGCGGAATTTCCATATTTAACCAAACCTAAGTTTTGGCCTTTCAAAAATAAACTAAAGGCAAGTCACACAATCAAAACTGAATGCGCACCTATGTTTGCTAAAACCGAGAGACTAGCACCTGACAAGCTTAAAATCGTTAGAGGCGAATTCAGCTACTTGCTACAGCTATGTATTATTCGTCTCTCGAACGAAGAATATATAGGTAAGTTAATGTATAGATGTGTAGTTTCCTGCTAGAATGTTGAAACGCAATGTTGCGATTTCTAGTATTTCAGGCTCTATTTTCGTTCAGTATGCAGTCGCTCAACCCTATTGTTTCTTCCTATCGAGACCCTCCTTCCAATAGTCTCACATTTTACTTTTTAGTCTATTGAGTAGCATGTACAGTAAATGCAGTACATTCACCATGACTACAAGGACGACTAGCAAAGGTCAAGGTCTAATTTGAGAGGTTAATAATAACAGCAGAAATACATATTTTTAGACGGGATTGCGAGTAACCTCATGACAACACCGGGCAAAGATCCTCAGAGTAATCTGTACAAATAGGATCGCTCGACTCAATCACCAAAAATAAATCTCCAACTGAGTAATCAGGATCACACCCCTATCTAGACTCCTACTCTTAGTAAGATTACTGATCAGATAAAAAATAAGAGAAAAGGGCATCCCAAACTGCCTATGGTGCTCACCATTAAGTAGAAAGTACACACTAATAACAATGAAATGGGCCATAATTCTACAGATTTACATTCAACCTGTAACGCTAAAAGCAGGAAGGCAATAGTGAGTGTTGGAGGAATTAATGAAAATGGCTAGATCCGCTCATACGGGCGCGTTCACTCTTTATAGCCCTTTGATTTTCGTATTAAATATATTACTCATTTTTCAGCTCAACTGTGTTCTTCCTAAGTGCTAAAGACCGTATTGCTGATTGCCATGATTCGACGAGTCAATGTAGACAGTGATGTGTCTTTCACTTAAAGTCTTATAGATTAAGTTATCCCATCACGAGAAATTAACAATTTTGGGATTAGATCTATGATTATGGTAACAAAGATTAGCGTACTAATATCGAACTATATCATCATTCTACATATCCTTCAGGATGCTATTCAGCACATGCTAAGCACACACCTGGAAAGAGTCGACCCAGAGTTAGGCAGGGCATGGAATGCTCGCCACATGTTAAACAGAGAGACTGGCACTGCCACAAGGTCTTCTTGAAGGATTTTGACGGCAGCTTTTCTCACACGACATAAAGAAGAAGACGCAGTGTTAAAGTCGGTAGTAATAGGAAATTTTTTAAGGCCAAGCTGGCAGCCCAAATGCAAGCTGACCAAAAATATCTCTACAGATTAGAGATTAAGAGAAAGCTTGCAAGTCGGGGATCTACGCTGTGAAAGGAACAAATGTTTAAAAATCTTATTAACTTAAGAATGGCGATCTAGTGCCAGTTGAGGAACTTGGAGATATCCAGATGACTTCCGGGTTATTGTTAAGTAGACCAAAATTCTTGCACTCTGGAAAAGCCAGAATGTGACGACATCCCTGCTATATTTTTGAAGCAGAGCGAACCAATGACGAAATACTTCGGTAAAAGCTACACCCCCACATTATACCTAACACGAGTTTAGGAAATGAAGTTCCTGTGCATACAGTCTACTCATAGCAGTTGGATGACCTGCTAGGACTGTGGGATATAGATTCATGAAATATTCCCCGACTTCGCTATTGTATTTGACACAGTGACCCACGTACTTCTCATAGCCAAAGTTGGAGAGGTGTGTGTCTATGACTTATATCTTGGCTCCGAAACCATCTAAAGAACAAGATGTTTTGAACCAAGGTAAAAAGTGTGCACGCGAGTTTGAAGGTTTCGACACCAGGAATCTCACGGAAAACAATCCTAGATATAATCCTGTTCTTTACCTTTATTAAGGACCTGTTAGATAAGATTAACTAATCGGTACTGACCTATGGAGACGATGCCAAGATCTACAGTTTCATAATTAGCGAAAAGGATTCACTTGGGCTTCAAAAGTGATTGACCAAAATGGAGAAATAGTCGGTTGACAATAGGCTGAAATCCAGACTGGTGAAATTTCATGTTACAAACATTCTGCTAAATTTGACGCAAAGCACTTACAACCTTCGTGGACATGCACTTACAATTACCTCTCCGAAACGTCATCTCCGGCTTGTAGCCACGAAGATCTTAGATACCAGCTCTAACTACATAGGAGATGCGTTCAAGGCAAACACAATTTTTCAGTTTATGCGTTGGCAACTTGGCGTAACCACTACAGTGTTGTTCATACCACAATTTAAAACATACTCACGGCCCTACTCTGAAATATATTGTGTTGTTGCACTCCCTCTTTTCAAAGGAGACGTAAATCTCATAGGCCAAGTACAGAGATGGGGCAGAATACATCACCTAGCACTGTTCTCGTTAGGCTACGGGTAAATAAGAGTTGACCTGATAATAGCACACAACATATTGGATACACCAAGCTACCTGAACACGAGCATGTTACCAGAATATCACCACCATACAATGTGAAACAACTCTCCAAAGATTGTACATCAAAGAGCAAACACCCAGGTGTGCTCCCACTTTCTCTCATAAATATTTGCCCTCATTCGGATGGCTCTTGCAGCCGAACTGACCACAGCCCCACCGGTGGATATCTTTAAGAGGAAACTTGACAAACATGTACTCACATATGAACTGCTATCTATCTTTTGGACATGTTGCGTCTGATGCATGTCTCAGAATTTACCGTGGTTGTGATTACCACATATTAGTAACTACTTCATATCTCTCTTATCATTTCCATTTCTCTTCTTATTTTTTTTTCAATTCCGACTTCTAACACATTACCAACTAATGAACTTATTTATTATTCCTAAAACAATTGTACTCTCTTAGCGAACGCATTGCAAATTTTCTACTGTCACAATGCAACCAACCAACACCTAGTCTGCTAACGTGAAAGCTGTTGATATCCAGTAGCCCCTCCGCCTTGAAACAAACGCTCACTCCAACATCAAAATATACGAATATGAAAATAAACACCATAGTGGCTAGAATTAGTGTAGTTAAGTAGATGCAATGTCACCATTTGAATATCACCAAGTATCTGGAACCGTGCAGAAAGAAGAAGAAACGAATACAAAGAAACCAATGGGTTTGAAGATGCCACAGGTATTCTGAGTTTGACAACGCTTTAACCAGTAACACCTAATATTAATCGTACCCACCAACTGAAATCAAAAAACAGAAGCGAGGAGGTTCGAAGATATATTTCATTGGCTATCAATATATGAAGGATCGTTTGATCTAATCTGGATGGCGATTGCCAGGGTTGTTGAGCACGGCGTTCCCACAACTGATCTGGTGCCGATGCATGACCGAGCGCCTTCAGATAGGTGAGTCCATTAAAACTAATGCGGTCAGCATCTAATGTCGAAGACTTACAGATCTATTTATCTTGGGGGATTTATTTACCGCTACAGGTCCATAGATGCTCATGATAATGATACAGGTTATCAACACTCAAATAAAAGTTTAATTCATAAGGATTAGTGAGATCTAGTGGCTAAATTACTCTCGTTGTGAGCTAACAAAAACTTAGAATCATACCGTGGCGCCAAGGTGCGAACGGAAAGAAACCAACTACAAGGTCATCTCTGATTTATTGGATATTGTAGTGTCTTGTGGTGGCAGATTCGCCTTACCAAGGTCAGTGTGTATATTTTCTGGTCGTATCTTTAAAATAGATATAACCTACAGATGTCCAGCAATGTGTAGAATAGTCATTCTAGGGTATTTATGTTGTAGTTACTAAGCAAGATATCATCGTGTGCGTATACTTGTAGAATCTAATGAACACGTATGATATGCGAGACCATGACTAACAAATATTCTGTGATGACAATTCCCCATTTCGTATGTTTTAACACAATAAACTTTTCTTTTTTGATAGCAGTTGGTGGGTTTGCTACAAGATGAGTGCTGAAAAAGATGTGGATCAAATTGATACGCCGGATTCTGTGAAAAATACTGTTCCAAATCATGGATATTCTCTTCGTAAGGGCGACTTCGCTCAACGGCCCATGTCCATTAAAAAGTTTCTCGAGCCTTTCGACCACAGCAGTTTAACAAATAATGAGGCTGGTGAGAAATATGCAGCCTATAAAGCAAGTTTCGCTCGACAACAGTTGGAAGAGTTTTTCGAAAGGAACAAATCGTATGCTTGGTATGTGTTTCTATTTACGTTGCTCCACAAATTCTTTATTGTATTCATATACAGAGCCATTCTCTCTTTGATATTGCAATTTAGACCGAAATTCGACGTTCAACAATAGTCGAAAAGCAATAAGCCTCATCTAGGTAGTAAATTTCTGGCTTTAATCCACCATTATGTAGTGAGATCGGATATGTTACTTTTAATTTCACACAAAAAGGTTTGTCATGGTAGATTATTGCGCTGCGATAGCCTGCTAGTATTCTTCGACTTCTAGATTGACAATCCTACCCTGATCATGCAAAACTAATACTGGTTACCATCTGACAGCTCGTAAACTATGAACGTTTCACTAAATTGCCCACATGAAATAAATCATAGGCTCTTTTAACTATCAGGATGTTTTAAGGACCATATAAGTTGCTACTATTGACAAGTGAATGCTAAATAACACCTTACTAGCCTTCGCAATAGTCATCCTCATCGCATTTGCAATACTGTTGAAATACTTTCTGTATTACATTCTCCAAAATGTTAAAATACGTTTAATTAAATTTCATTAGTGGCGTTTGTTATAAACCAGCCATTCATGATGTGAATTATTAATCCATATTACTATTCGAAATCAAGTTGCTTCTCTCCTTAAGGCTACTTTAAGATTAGAATATTTAACTTGTTTGTTGAAGTCTGAGACTTGTGAGCTAACGAGGTTTTCTGTGATTTTACTCCTAAGAATATGGAAAGTCAATGCATCTCATAATTCGTACCCAAAAATATATTACGTCATCATATCACTGTGCATGTTCCTCTTAAACTTCACTTTAATATAATTGTTTAAATTTATTCTATAAAGGTTCCGCGAGAAATATCATCCAGATTACCTCACAGAATCATCGTCCAGCATGAAGTTGTTCCGAAGACGTTTAGATATTTTTATGGAGTTTTATAGAAATGGTTATTTTGACAATCTACATCTAGCCAGTGGTTATGAAAGTGAAATTGTCCGGCTGTTAGATATGGGTAGGTGGTGTGATATAGATGTTCTCAAGTAAAAGTTTTCTTCCTAAAATTAATAAACCCACCATGTTCTAAACATTCTTTTGTGTACATGATTTATTGTGTGTAAACTGAGGTCATATCTAAAAACCGACAGGAAAACTTTTTATATGCCACCTTAAGTTCTTTAACCAGTCGTCTGCGTATATATATATATATATATATATATATATATATATATATATATATATATATATATATATGCTCAGAATAAAGTGGGTTAAAATCGCTCTAGAATGTTAGTTTTAGAACATACTAATTATTAGACTATTGGTTCCTCATATACTCATAACGTTAATCAAGATGTTTTTTTCACTTAGTTCATTTTTCTATAATTGTTCATATTTAATATTTAGTTGCGATTAAGCTGGCTGGTGGGACGGAAGAGGACTTTGTTCTTTTGGACAAACTACTCGAAGATAGAATTTCTGAAGATCCCAACGTGATCATTGAGCCATCGAATTTTCAACATACAGAAAATGTTAAACCGAACGACAATATAGTTCAATCATCAGATATACGAGAAGGACCATTTGATAAGGAGAAATTTGATGCGAGCACTATGAAAAAAGTAAGTACTATTTATTTTAAGTTCGTTTTAATGCTGCGAATTTTAATATTTATAACTAGCGACTAATTAAAGCGAATCATAAAACTGTGTTTGTTGGTGTTTATCAGTACGAACTAACCGCAGTACGCAGGGTTATCGGGTTTCGTTCTTACAAGTGTAGTTCGGATAAACATAACATTTCAAAACTCGCACAGTATTTTTGACCTCAGGTGATAATGTTTGATATATTGGTGATTAACACTGAGTTGTTTCTTTTTACTCAATAAGCTTATTTTCAAAGATTTTTTGCCATTTATTGGTAGAGTTATCATATTTTTCGTTTGTTTAACAGTAATATGTGTTGCTTGATACTTTACTGAACATGAAATAAGCAAGAAGACTTAAGAATTCATTTTTGTATTTGATACCATATTATACGTGAGTATTCAGGCTTTTGATACGTACTCAGTGGTTTTCTACTTAGGGAACTGTACGAAAACAAAAATTTATCTGGATATTTTGTTGGTTTTTTTTTCAAACCTAACACAGCATTATAGTGAAATCAAATTGCCTATGTTCTCTGTAATAATGTAGAATATACGTGTTGTACTATTTAAATTTGGATTAATTTTAATTTGGTTATTTATCCTCTGAAGAAGTGGCTTACAATAAGTCACGAAACGTCAGGAAATCTAATTTTTCTACTCGTTGGGATATTACAAATTTATTATTTTTTTATAAAAATCTACCCAATGCTCAATTTATTCGAAATTATCAGGTCAAACCTTGGTAATGATAACTACGATGTAGTCTAACGCTAATCAGGCGAGTGTTCATATACTTAGCCTTGAGGGGCGTTGGAAATATGAGGGTTAGTGATACTACTATGCTTTGCAAACCAAAATAGGTGAAGTAGGGTTCATTTTGATGCAGGTATATAACCTGGCACTTTTTTTCTGAAACCAACTATTCACCAGTTCACTGATAAACTCTGAAAATCGGAAATTTGTTTACTAGCATGGCTTTATGTCATAGAGGACAGGATTTTGACTGATATTACAAGTATTAACCTTCAAGGATGTTCTGTAACCCTCGGATACCTTTAGAAACCAAAGTGTTATGGTGTTTACAAATTCCAATCGTGTTTATTTTCGTCCTGTATTATGTATATGTGGATGTAACTTCACATAATGTTTAATATTTTGCTGCCCTACCCGGTTTTCATTATGCATAAACTCATTTGTGGTGCCTACGTCAATAATTAGGCCTTCATTGGGATTTGTCAGTTGCAGGCACTTCCAATATTTTAGGACAATAGATCAAATCTACGAACGCTATCCTCCACAATATTGTAGTATCTTAAATTTTAATCGAATATACCTCATTATGGTATATTAAAATTTACTCTTAACAGGTTTTTAATTATGCATATTTTTATATTTACACATTTCTTTGCAGAAGCCTAAACCAGATTATTGCGATTCTTCAAAAATCCAGAAGCGTAAAGAGTTTAGAATTAAAAGACGTCAAAATAATGCAGATGAAGAGGAGGAAGGCGAAGACAGTAGTTTAAGTGATGATGAAAGTAATGATAGTGGAACTGATAGCGTAAACAGTCATAGTAGAGATTCCAGTTCAAGTAATAATAATAGTACTAGTGGTAGTAGCAGTAGTAGCGATAGTAGTGACGACGATAATGGTAGCAGTAATAGCAGCAACAGTAGTAGTAGTAGTACTGACGATGATGATGATGATAATAATAATAATAAGGAACATCAAAGGAAAGTTAGCATATCTAAAAGCAATAGCAGTGATAGCAGTGATGGTGAGACGGTTGTAAAACACAAGAAGAAGCGTTCTAAACTTGTTAAAAATAAGAATGTCCAAGAAAATTCTGGTCATAGTAGTGACCGTCATCGTCGCCGTCATCACCGTCATCATGATGATAATAATAACAATCACGATAATGTGCACAACAAAGTTAATCCCATTTCAACTAACCATTTATATAACAATAATCATAACGACCAACAGAATACAAGTGATTGTTCAAAAATAGTGCCTGATGAAATCAACACGATGTCTTCTACGAAATCACCTAATACGACAGGGTCAAATCAATCGAATGAAGTTTATGTACTATCAGGGTTGACAGATCCACCTTATGTTGCTGGTGGTGTTGTTATTAGTGATGATACTCATAATAATAGTATTACTAATGATGGCGAAAAATCTATGGATTTCGATAATCTAACAATAGAGAAATCAGCAGATCCAATAAATAAAGATGAATTGAAGGAATTAATTGTCACAAATGAACAAACTCGTCGACCCATTCATTATACAACTTTACTATTTTTTCCACATATTCCATTCAATATATTCAAACGAGATTTAATATCTGTAAGTTTACCAGTAGTAGTTGCTTTTTGTATAATCCACGTGTTCTGGAATTTTCGTTTAAGTTCATTGAACAACTCAGTCGGTCAGTAACAACGTAGAACTTCGTACGTACGTACATCAGTTCGGGTTTCCACACCACATTGAACAACTAGTCACAACATCACAGTTACTGCAGTCTTTAAAAAAATCTTTCTAGGTAAAACTCAGCAAATCGATTGAAATTAAAAGGGTATGAAATACTTGAAACGTCTGTATTGTCGAACATATATAGAAACGCTTAACTGACCAAAAGTTTCTTTCATGCCACTTTTCCTTAGATATATGTATACCTCATACTGTATATTGTAATAAAATATTTACGTTTTGATAACCGTAAATTCTTAGGATGGAATTAGTGCTGACAATCGTCCCCCTAAGTATTTTGTTATGATATGCAGTGTCCGAGTCTGATGCTGATACACAAAACGTACGTTATGGCTTCTGTCGGTTCTTCACGACTCCCTGGTTGGGGTCTGAGAGATGGTGCTACACAGTGGCTAGAGACGTTATCAGATATGGCTCAGAATAGAAGCCAATGGCGATCCTGCTGTAACCTTCTTTTACTTTCTTCATAAAAAGTGGTTGTGTCTCCCTTACCTGAAAGATTTCTTCTGATTGTACCTTTCCGTTCCCTCGTTACTACCACACTACCTTACACCAATCTCTTCGTTATTGTTCTCTTTTTCTTTTGCGCTCCTTAGTTTTTTTTCTATTTCTCTTCGAATTCTCATAGTTTTGTGTGGCGCATATATATTGGCACTCTCTTGTACCAATATTCATGTGTTCAAATAAATAAATAATAAATACGTTATGCTAACCTCAGAAAGCTACTAAGTGAGAAAACGATGACTGAAGGAAGTTTGCCGGTGTAAACCAAATCGAATGAATAACTTACGCCTGTTATTCCTCATGGAGGAGCATAGGCCACCCACCAGCATTCTCCATCAAACTCCGTTTTGGGTAATCCTTTCCAGTTGCCATTCACTCTTTTCGTTTCTGCTTCCAGTCCTCTACGCAGTGTGTCCTTTGGCCTTTTTCTTCTCCATTTCCCTTCAGAATTTCAAGTTGGCACTTACCTCGTGATACGGTCTGTTGATTTCCGTAATGCATGTCCTATCCACCTCCACCACCTTCCTCGAATTTCTTCTTCAGATAGAAGCTGAGTTGTTCTCTCCCACAATAGATTGTTGCTGATGGTATCTGGCCGACGGGTACCGAGTATCTTGCGTAGACAATTGTCTAGAAATACTTGTACTTTTTTGATGATAGTTGTAGTAGTTCTCCAAGTTGCAGCTCCGTACTATAGAACTGTTTTGATTTTAGTTTTGAAGATCCTGACTTTGATATTAGTTGACAGTTGTTTTGAGTTCCACATGTTCTTCAACTATAAGAATGCTGCCCTTACTTTGCCAAACCTTGCATTTACGTCTACATCGGACCCTCCTTGTTCATCGATGATCCTGTTCGGGTACGTGAAAGTTTCCATATCTTCCAGAGCTTCTTCATCAAGTGTGATTGGGTTGGTGTTCTCTATGTTGTATTTGAAGATCTTACTTTTTCCCTTGTGTATGTTTAGACCTACGGATGCAGAGGCTGCTGTTATTCTGGTTGTCTTCATCTGCATATGTTCATGTGTATAGAATAGAATGATCAGGTCATCTGCGAAATCCAAATCTTCTAATTGATTCCGATCTCTTCGTTGTATTCCGTGCTTCCTCTGAGTTGTTGAGGTCTTCATAATCCAGTCAACCAACAGAAGGTAAAGAAAGAGCGAGAGTAAGCAGTCTTGTCTGACTCCGCCTTTTACTTGGGATGCGTCTGTCATCTGTCCTCCATGCATGACTTTGCAGTGTAGTTCGTTGTATGGATTCCGTGTGATATTGACGATTTCCTCAAGTAAGTCGTAGTGTCGAAGAAGTTTTCATAAGGTTCTATCCACATTGTCAAATGCTTTCTCATAGTGACTGAAGCTGATGTATAGTGACGAGTTCCATTCAATTGGTCGTTCAACGGTGATCCGTAGTGTCGCGATTTGGTTTGTGCACAAGTGATCCTTACGGAATCCAGCCTGTTGATCTCAAAGTTGGGCGTTTACTGAACCTTTCATCCGGTTCATGCTCTTGTCATTGGGAGGTTTTCGATTGGCGAAACATTTCCATTTCACTTAGCAACTTTTGATTGGTTCACTCTATCACATTCCTTGTTTTTTTTCTGGTTATTTTATAAGGGATCTTTAAATTACTTGGAATGAGACTATCTTAACATAAGTTTTAGAATCTAGTATGGCTTATACATAGTAACTTTGTTTTGATGTTACCATTCTTCTAATCGTCAGATTGTTTTTACTAATTTTATTGTCCTATCCTGTTTTAAATTTTCTAGGTACTTTCCACTTGTCCACATTTCTTACGTTTAGCTATCTTAGATCCTGTTATCATGCCGGATACAGTGTCATCAATAACAGATGATCAAATATTCGGTAGGGTGAAAAATCCTATGCCTAAAGTTTTACTAAAACGTATGGGATGGGCATCATTTACTTCACAATATGTAGACGATGTTAACAATAAGTGGATTAGTATAGATTTAAACGCTATAAAAAATAAATTAATTGAATATGCGGTTGACCGTGAAGCTTCAAGTGATTTAATTGAGTGTTTACGTTTATCGCGACCAATTTTGGATCATTTGAAAGTACCACATGAAGAACGTGCTCGAAAGACTGGACATTTGTTCGATAAGTTATTAAGTGTATGTCCAACTCGTATTCGTTCAAAAGCTTTAGCACGTCGTCATCTAGTGATAGCAGCTCGTGTTATTTATGATTTCGACAAGGCTAGAGGTTTGTGGTCAACAACAGAGTATGATACTAATGATAATAGAAAGAATGATAACAATATGTCAGCAGATAAAGAAGGGGGGAAAGGAGAACATATCAACTTGAGACGTCATGGAGAAGTTTCCTCTATCGTTGACGATGGTGAAGAAGAAGGTGAAGATGGTGGCGGTACTACTACTAGTGAACAAAAGGAGAAAATTTATAAAGAGACGTTGACGATCAATAAATTATCTCTTCAAAATAACTTAAGCGAAAATGATATCAATCATTCAAGTAATCAAGATCGGTCAATGGATATAGATCAATCTCTTGAAAATGAAGAAACAATGGGTAAGGAATGATTTTCATTCACTTGTATACTATTTTTTATTCACTTTTAGTATGTAGTAATTGGTCACGCTAATTTTGGTTGCAATAATATGAAGGCTATAGATAATAATTCTAACTCGTTTATCGCCATCGCATAAAACATCCCAACAGGTGTTCAACAATTTACGAAACACTATAATCATAATGACGATAGTGATAAAGTAAAAAAACATTTTGTTTTTACCATCTTCGATATTTAAATCAAAAGTGAGGTTGTTAAGAAATGTTTAAAGCAATAAGAAATTGTTCAAAATTACCGATAGACAACTTAATTTTGCATATCATTGAGTTTTCAAAGAAAATAAAGTATACATTCGTTAAAACCTTTTGGAGTACATATTTTGAAATAATTAAAAATCAGTTGCTTAGTTTATTCACTTTTAATATAATTTCAGAATTCATTTATTCTTGAGGTTATTTAATTATACACTGTATTGTTTTGAATCATATTTTACTAGTAATCCTCACTGTTCTCATTCATCTGTTCACTTAAATTGATTAATGTAGTGTAGTGCGATGCAGTTGTTGAATTGCTCAATGAAAAATATAATCTAAACTAAAGTTCACTTGATCGTAATGTTAGGTTTTATAGATGATCGACTCAATTCTTTATATTTTTGCCAGTCAGTCAAACTTGAACAATATATGATCTAGCAAAAATACATTTCTCCAGATTTTTATAATTTACGTTAGTAGAGTTAGCATGAAAAATGGGAAAGTTCAAAAATTATGTTTACAACAAAATTAAAAGAAATGACTAGAAAAATATTTAGTCATACTTTTTTTAAAGTTTATGGGAACATAAATATTAGTATGCTCCACTATCGCAAATTATGAGCAAGTCTCTAAATACACAAAACAGTTATATGAAATCTGTATTTCTCTGCACTGTTTAGGACAATGCTTAATGGTTTTGGGAACTAATACCGTGTTTTACTTTGTCTGTCTAATATTTTCAACCTGATTTTATCGTAGCCAGCTTACTGAGTCAAGTTATTGGCGGCTTAGTATACCTAACAAACCTTTCAGTCATTCTGACGTTTCAGCCAACGCCAACGTTGCTGGTTAATTGCTTCACTGGTAAAGGATAATGCGTCTAAACGTTTAGGATAAAACATTGGGTATTTGCCCATATCTTCTAACTCAAAAGTCAGTGTTTTATAGCAGTAAGGTAATTCTGAACAGACTGCTCTACGGTACACTCATCTTTTGATATACAGGTGGTCTAGATTTCATCAGTGGTGATCACCTGATCAACGCACTTAGTTATCCCCTTATTATGAGACTGGATATCGATATAAACCAATCCTGAAACATTTCGGTTTCGAGAAACCAAACAAATCTCAAATACCATCAATAAACTGCTTTTAGTAAGTCGTTTCATTGAACAGATGTGGAGTTAGTGGAGTAATCCAAACTACATTGAGTATTTAGTTTCAGTCGATTTCAGCTAGCAGTTTGAATTTCTCTTTTTACTGTGTTTCATGTGTAACGATTTACTGAAATTCCGAAATCGTTCTGATGTACGAAATAATTATTTTGATATAAATATATGCAGAGATGAAGTTTTTTAATGGTAGGCTTTCCAATAATATACCAGTCGTCACCTTCAACGCAAACGTACATGTGTAAATTAATTATTATCCATTTTTTAACGTTCAAATTATCAAGTGAAATATTTACTATCGTTGTAAAATTTATTTCTTCACTTCATACACTGTTTTTGTTTTACATAGAAGAACAAAACAATGATTCAGATGTGAAAGAATCATCTAATCAGAAAACACATAAGTCATCATCATTACAAGACAGTAAAAATTCTAGTGACGTATCTATGCTTTCAGATGATGAGAAACAAAGTGATTTTATTGATCCTGGTGACGACTTAATAAAGGCGGCAAATATATTAAATAGTATAAAAACAATAAATCCTCTTCTGCAAGGTTTAACTGATTATCTTGTCGACGAGGGAAATGCTGAAGAAGAACTTCTTTTACTAGGTAGGTGATTTTAAAAATGTTGTCTTTTTTCCTTTTTGTATCGCTAGTTTAGTTTCTTTAGTTTCATATGATGTAAATAACAAAGTCGATGGGTGGTGTAGGTAGAATTGTAAAAATTGACAGAACAATTATTCGAAAGAAAAGGTATAATCAGAGGAAAACTATCGAAGTAGAGTGGTTTTTATTTCCTAACTATGATAGATTTTCAGCATTTAGGAGACTTTCCAACGTAGGAGGACATTTCAAAAGTGTTCCTTAAGAGACTGACATCTACTCTAAAGCCTATAATTCATCATTATCATTATTATTAGCTTTGTTAAATATTGTATTTTTGGTAAGATATAGAATTTTCAGCACAAAGTAAGAAATATGTTAAAATCTCAAACCACAGTCTTTGCCGATAACTTGGGAGCTTATAAATGTTTTTCAAAGTTTAAATGCAATCATCATATCGTTGTTCACAAACGGTATTTGTTATGATTTTTAGCCCTTCAAATATCACGTAAATCATAACACCGACTTATATGACCTTGTCCTTGTACTAAACCAATGATGCGTTAGCCAGCATGAACTTACTTACTCACTTTCGCCTGTTACTCCTAATGGAGCATAGGCCGCCGACCAGCATTCTCCAACCCACTCTGTCCTGGGCAGCCAGCATGAACAGCCTTTATTATTATTTATTTATTTTAACACATAGATATTGGTACAAGGAGGCACCAAATACATATGCGCCACACAAATGTCATTCGATATGTGTGAGGGCTGTGATACTGCCCGGGTGCCCAAACCGAAGCAGGTGGTTTTCTTAGGGGGCCACACCAAGCCTTCGATCTGAAGGTCTGATCCACAAGGCAGTGGAGCATCGTGAGGAGATGCAATCCCATGGAAGCCGGTGACCAACGATTGGTTCATACGCCATTTGTTCCTTCTGGATACTGGAGCCCATGTTCAGCATTGGTTTGGAATCCGGTTAAAGCGCCGGACATTCTCTTTTCGTCCTCTCGATTTCGTAAACAACAGTAATGCCACGAGAAGGCAGTGAGTAGGACTTCCCTGGGACAGGCTATACACGCGTGGCCATGTGAGAGCATTTCGAGAAAGAGATGACTCTCCCCACTCTCGGCCGTACCAGGGCATTTGGGGGCTATGAACAGCCTAGGGTCAACTCTGAGGCCCTATTGATCCTCAAAATAGTAACTTCTCGACTAGTCCAGCCCATTCAGTTCAGAACACAATCTCAGCGTCCGCCGTGTGGATTGTTTATTTCAGACATATGTGATTTATATACAAACAGACCAGATCACATCACACTACAAAATAAAAAGCAATAATTATACAAGATCAAGCCAAAAGTGGCTATGAGTATTGGATACTGTAATAAATTAAGAATGGTATAACAGTAGCCAATAGGTTAAATTAAAGTTTATGATAAGTGGAATACGAAAAGATATATGACCTAGTTACTTAATAACTATCTAATAAGGATATATATAATAAGTCTATAAATAATCCCTAACAGTTACCATTCTTTTCTTCTTTGTTCTGATGTAACAGTATTTCATGGATCCCCAAACAGGAGTACACATAAATAATATTGAGACCATGTGAGGAAAACTCGAAAATTATCCTTGTCCATGAGTAATGATACTTTTTGTTTTAGCAACATCAACAAATGTTTTTTCGATCTCAAACATGAAGTATCTTTAAATGACCTTAAGAAATTTACAAACTATGTAAAAGTCCTTTGGGCTTTTTAAAATTTTTTCTTACTGAAAACCAATCATTTTCATAATTAGTTTTCTGTTTGTCTAAACAAGTACTTTAATTTTTTTCTGACTCGTTCAAGTTCTTTCTTAATTCAACCAGTTTATCTCGTAATTTGTTTTTCTACAGTATCACAGATTGAAATCATGAGTCAATTGAAGCCAGACCACCATGGAAAACCTGGAAGCACTGGACAGCCGTTTCGTCCTAGTATGGGACTGTTGTGAGGTATCAGCTCACTGAAGACAAGGTATACGGTGGCGCAACTTCGTGGATTGGTTGAAGTTAGACATTAACACCGTTGAATGCCGGCTCAGTGGTCTAGTTGGTTAAGCACCTGGCGCGAGACTGATAGGTTCTGGGTTCGAATCTCGCGGGGTGCGGGATCGTGGATGCGCACTGCTGAGAAGTCCCATACTAGGACGAGACGGCTGTCCAGTGCTTCCAGGTTTTCCATGATGATCTAGCTTCAATTGACTCATGATTTCTGTCTATGAAGTTCCTAAAATCGCCACAAACCCCTTCTGATAATTTTTCTACAATAATTTAATTTTTCTTGTTATTCGAAAAAGATTTTTTAATATTTATAAATTTACTTTATTTCTTTAGGCGGTATGCAGTCTATTTCATTTCAACCATCTTCAATAACAAAAGGAACATTAATGAATAATTCACAAATTATTAATTTACACTCATCATTACAATTACAACAACTTGATATATCTTCACGATTCTGTGAATCAGATGATAGTGAATTATTAGTTGTATTGGATCGCTTAATTTTATATTTAAGAATAGTACATTCAGTAGATTTTTATGCACCTGCATTTTATATGAATGAAGATTTGATGCCACATCCATGTCGTCTTATACATATTCGACCGGGTTTAAATGAAATAACCAAAGCTTTAACACAAATTAAAAGTCCAGAGAAATTAATCAATTCAGAATCAGTTGATCATGTAAATATTTTATTGTATTATATTTTATTTATCCATAGTATTATTGTTAAATTCACAAAATGTCTTTGTATAATGGTCATAGATATAGAGGAAATTATTGATAGTTGTTTTACATTTTTTGTGGAAGCGTTTCAGCTGTACACATAGACATAAACAGTGATAACCACTCGTTTAATGATCGAGTTGAATGTTGGACCACCTAACCCTTGATGGTATCATAAAACGAATTATGATCATCTCATTTCCCACTGTTCACAATTTTAATTGTACTCAGTTTGTTGTATATCATACAGTGCTATATGTGTCTCTGTACAGTATATTTAGTTTTTCCCCAATGATAGTGTTAATATTCATATCCTGATCACGAAGCTAGTTTGTTTCAGATTCAAATACATAAAGGGTTATTAATGTTGATTTTCATGAAGTTTCTGATTGATATCTGCTTGTAATGAAAGCAACCTAACTTACATGAGAACGTTATCGTTTTTTGAGTTATTTTACAGTTTTTAAATTTCCATATAGCGTATTAACAATATGGAATAAGTTGGTTCTCAGATCTCATAACAGAATTCCTGATGTCAAAAAATATAATAAACATTTATTAATAATACATGACAGTGTCCAAGCATCTGGTGATAAGTTGGAACGTTATGGTTATGTATCTACAACCCGGAAAAAACTTATTTTCGAGTTAGTTTTCATACATATCTTACTATTTACTTAGTTTTGCAAAGCCAAGATTTTAAAAACGAATGTTAAGAGATTGGTACTTTATTTATGGTTTTGCAGGCTCTTGAAAATGAATATAGCAATTTTTTTATTCAAGATTCATGGAACATTTGTTTTAGTCAAATTTTCAAACCATTTGATTTTTTCCCTAGCCCGATTATCACCCCTAGTTTCAAAAAGATTCTTAACATTCTCCTACACCCTCCTAATTTTGTTGTTATATACTCTATATGTAAGTTTCGTAAGTATTTGTGTCATAGTAGAGTGTATAAACACGCGACCGCATGAGTAAATTTCGAGAAGGACAAAGCAAAAACTTCACCAATGTTTGTATCAAAGCTACTCTTGAATTTATAAACTTTCGCCCATTATAAATAGAGTCGAGCAATTTTTTCGTAATCCCAAACAATGAGGAAATTCAAACATTTATGTGTAATTATCGACGTTCAGTGTTTTATGTAAACTTTCTTCGAAGCATCGCTCGCGTTTCATGGAGCGACCAAGGGAGGAATGTTGAAGTTGGGAATAGTGTGTTTGGTAAACGTCGGAAATCGGTTGATAAGACTGTAAATCATCATATAAGATGGTTAGTTCATATATTGCATATCCCCAACGGCTGCCGACCTCAACAAACGATGTTGCTCGGTGTAGAAGTAGGCTGGAATAAAGCTATGGGGACAAACTAAAACGTAGCCTCCGCCCATAAAGTTATTGACCATTAACCCGAACCATGTAGATAGATGCAGACTGCTTAGTTGGGCTATGTGTGATAAATGTAACTAAAATGATTGAAGACGAGTGACATAACTCTGAATCATTCGCAATGGCACCGATGCATTCACTTGTTGTTTTTCTCTCGAACTTGAACTCCGGTATCTCTCCACATTTACGTTTTTACTGTCTTTTCAAACCATATTCCAAAGGTTTAGTCTTTCTTTTCATCATTGTTACCACATTATTTCGATCTCGTTATTTGCGTCTCATTCTGCTAGTCTAATATGGCGAATTGGCTCAACGTACTTCTGTGCCAGGCTCTATGTTGATGATGTCTGTCTGTCTATCAATATACTAAGCATTCATTTACTTATGAACAGAACTCATGGTATAGCATTATTTCTCAACTTTGATTTCATTTTTTCTTGTGTTGACTAGACGCTAAAAATCCTTAATTTTTCGACTTTTTTCTTTTGGTTACGGTTACAAATCCATGTGGATATTTTATTCTTTGCTAAAATTAATTAATTCTCAAATTTTACAAAATGTTATTTCTCTTACACAATCTAGTTATTTGCCAGTCAAATAAAACGTTTAGTACGACTCATTACTCCGCTCACAGAAAATGATTGTAAAGGTTTGGGTTATAGAAATGCAGATGATGTTGTGGAAGAATTCATAAAATTGAATACACGTCGGAAAAAACGAAAGGCGTATGTGTAAAGCTTATACAAATATGTATTGTTATTATTAATTATTTACTATGAAGTAGGTTTTTTATTATTTGATGGGCTGAATTTTCTGTTGTTAAAAGGAGAAAAAGTATGCTAATGGGTAGATGTTATACAATGTAGTGCGATGTGACCGAGTGATAAATACTCACGAGATCAAATTATTTGCTTATTCCTCTTAATTGGACTGCATTTAGAAAACAAGATAACTACCCAATAGAATAGGTTTTCTTTCCTAACGAAATGTTGCGGCTATTGAACACAAAAATAAACATGACAAGAGGTCATTTAGCAAGTAAACGATTAGAAGATATAGTAAGTATGGGTCTCCCACTCTCAATTAGAATCAAAGTTTAACTATCAATCTTAATTCTTGCCCTACTTTATCATCATTATGGTCAGTACATACATAGTAAAAATTTGCGACAAATAACAAAGAATATTCATTCTGCAGAATCTATCGTAAAAATGAATTTTCTTTAACAGATTAAAATTGGGCTTTCAAAGTTTTCTCAATAGTTAGCCTTGTTATCTAGAACAAAATATCCATGAAAACTAAACAGGTATTAGTTCTGGTATCAGTTATGCATATGTATTAAAAGCTAGTCACCAATGAGAACACGCTTATTTGTTACAAATGAAAATTAAGTTATTCTTCACGAGGTTATTTTAACTGATGCCAATTCATGACAAAAACAATTTTCAAACTACAGAGTTTTTAGTAAACTATTTAAGTAATTGAAACTTATGGTCTGTAATCATAGTGGAGCAATAGGTTAGTGGTTGAGATGTTTGACTTTCATCCATTAAGTCGCGGAACCAAACCTTACCCCGCCTAATATAGCTTGAGCCACCCGGTAGTATCACACCAAGTGTAGCTCGAAGCCAAATACAGAAATCTCTACCTCGAAAACGAATTTTAAAATCTGTGGTGATAACTAGTTCTTTTCACCCAGTGTATGTGTCAAAGTTTTGTAGGTCAGTTTCTGTAGTATTTATCCATTTAATTTTTTATATTATTTAAGCGATGTGATATGGGTTTGCCCATTGTCAAATAAAAAGTTCCGAGATCCAATCTACGTTAAGAAACATATTCTCAATAAACATATGGAAAAGGTTGAAGCTGCCAAGAAAGATAATGTGAGTTTTTCCTGTCAAACTTGCACAATATGTTTTACACTTTTTTCGTGCATATAATCTATCCGTGTTTATTAATAAATGCGCCATATTTGGTATTTCCATACAGTTAAGATTCCTCCTTTAAATATTTAGCGTTCAACCATTAGGTCTCTGGTTCAATTCACGTTTTATCTACTTCAATTTAAGCGACAGGGCATTTATTACCAGTAGGAATCGAGCAGTTTAGATCAGTGCTGAGTATAAAAACTTGCCCTTGGTAACTGGGATGTATTTAACCTATTTGAACTGATGTAAACTTATATATTACACTAATACGTTTGAAATATTATACATTGGCAACATTCTTTTTATTAAGATATAATAGGCTAATATATATATATATATATATATATATATATATATATATATATATATGACTACAATGACTTGACTTCGGTTTCTAACATTTTGTGTTTATTTCTACGTAGGCAAGTCTCACTCATGAGGTGGTTATATAATCACTTTTATAGGTGCATACAAGCCAGTAGTTTCGTGTTATCTTACCTTGTTTAGTATTGATGGTTTCATGTTGATTTCCCGTTTCTTTATTGAAAGTCTCTTGTTCATTATTCTCTTTCTTCTATGTACCGGTAACTCGTGTTTTTTATTTCCATAAATAATCAGTCGTCCATTTTCCAAGTTAATCATTGACTCGGTCCGTTTACTTGATAACTTATCACATGATATGGGTAAACCATGATAATTTCCCTGTTATCTTTCAGGCCTACTTTTTCAACAACTATCTTATGGATCCTGCCCGACCCCAGTTGCCTCCTGAGCCAAGATCTCCTAGAAGGCGATCTCAGTCACCCTCACCATCTCGTCGAACTGCTAGAGAATCAAGTCATCTAGCTAATGAAACCAGTGAACGAGAACGTTCTAATTCTTGGGCACAAGGATCAAATAACTTCCAGTCACAAAGATGGCAGCAGTATGGACGCAATCGCAATGAAGGTGGAAATATGGGAGGGAATTATGGACGGGATAATATACACAGTAACTTACCATTCTACCCTCGACCATATGGTCGCCAACAGTACTCGAATTTCCGAATTCCATATGGTGGTAGCAATCAACGTAGTTATTATAATGGTCCACGAACTGGTGGATATAACTTTAATCGGTTAGTAAAGTGTTTTGTTGACGATTGGTTTAGGTTTTAGCAAGTGTTTATGCGCTGTAATTGGTGTGTACTCAGGAAAGTGTACATTCTGTTGAAATTATGTAGTGAGCTAGTAATTTGCGTAGAAGTTAATTAATTAGATTTGTCGATTATACCATTGAACACCAACCCAGCGCCTCATTAAGATTGAGATTATGCTCACTACAACGCCTTCAATTCAGCTCCAAGTTTATTGTCGTGGCTATCCGCTGCCGAGCATTCTAGCACATGTATAAGGCAGCTGCCTCTTTCCACTTGGATTTCAATGCTCCAACAAATGGTGGCAGTTTGTGACGAGAACTAACCCTAAGCATTATTTACGTTGAACCAAATGCAAATTTTATGTTAATTAGTAGATGTTGACATTTACTTACGATTTGTGAAGCCGATAGCCATCTACTGAACAGAATGTTTGTGGTCCGTCGACTAGTGTAGGCTAAGATAATTTTTTTCCTTACTTAAAAACACACTTGGTTGAGCATAACTCCCAACCGATGAACCACACAATATTGCTAAAACCCAAGATTGAATTGCAGATTCCTGCGCTTGACACTATATCATCAATCTTTTTTTGTGAAGTTTAAGTATGTACCATACAGTTACTTCAATATAAAGGAGTAGAACGAGGTTTCAAACTGTTACTTCCTCACTGTTGAGATCTACCATTTAGAACACTGGATCAAGATTCCATAGTTGTTTATTTATTAAGCTTGATGTTATTGAACAAATCAAAATATGAGATCAGATAATCAAATTAAATTTTAGTTCATGTTTGTATAGTATTTACTCAAAGATCATAAAGCTTGTTTCTAGCGAATAGAAATTTATATATATATATATATATATATATATATATATATATATATATATATATATATAATCAAAACTATTGTTATTATCAAAGTAAATCTCACAATCTATTTTTAGACGTGGCTATCCAAGACGGTCGTATGTTGATCTGGATGCGCCTTGAATGAATGTCTCATTTTATTTGTATGCATTAGATAATGACAAATTTTGTTGTTTCCAGTCCGCAATAATCTCTATGTATTTTGTATATAATTCATATCAAGGAAAACAGCAAATAAACCCAACACTTATCTTTTGTACTCATAACTACACTACTACTATTCCTCGTAAAATAAATAAAATTTAAAAAATTGAAAAAATACTTCTGTTTCAAATTTAAAAGGGTGACTTTAGGTGTTACTTAATTGATGATTTCGTATTATTGCAGGAGTACCAAATTTCTTAATGACTTGTTTGAATGTGTGCAAGTAACGCCTATTTTATTAGGACAGCTTATTAGAAATTATCTTTGCCGTTTAAATACTTGACCTTCACTAGTTAGGTTCCACGCTCTATCCTTTTCAGTTTGAATAGCCGAGCTGTAAACAACTTTCTTACTAACACAAATTAATATTTCGGTGTTCAGTTTTGTCTGTTAGAACTGATCTCAACCTCCAATATCCTGAAGTTGTCAACATATTACCTTTTTCTAATTCCTTAATCATGTCAGTTTCATAAAAGTAGTTGTAACTTTGTCAGTCACTTGATAGAAAGTTCACACGGTCTCTCGGTTTTTTTCGAATATCTTTGTTCGTCATTCGATCATTAAGTAAAAGTTCTTAATCTGGGGTCGGAATATGTATTGATGGATTGAAGTTCGGATGTAAACTTATAAATTACATTCAAAACTGTCTAGAAAGACAATAATTCTACTTATTTTAGTCTTCAGTGTTCACAAATGACAGCTGAAGGAAATGTAAAATGGGAATATGAAACTCTAAATATATAGTGAACAAATTTGGAAGATCTGGAGTTATATATATACCATTCAGCATGCTCCTTAGGAATGGTAATTAATGACCACTCACATTTAATGATTCATTTGTTATTCTAACATTACATCGTATCATTGAGAACAAGAACACAGTACACTTGCTCTGTATATACGTTCTACATTAATTCGTTGATTTCAATAAAAATCAAATTTCATATATAACATTTCTTAAAGCGAATGGTAAAATCACTTCATTTTTAAAATATTCTTGAACCATCACCAATTGGAGGATGTATGAAAGACACTTAACAATCTTTTTGTTATTTAGTCTGAAAATTCGAATCAGCTTATAGTCGGATGCTCCCTGATTTGATGATGCAGAACTTTACCGTCAAGATATTACTCTATTAGCTAAAACAATAACTCACTATTCGAAATTTGTTCATATTATTTCGATTTTGCTGAAAATTCTCCAACGTTTCCAATGCTTCCTTACTTTACACCAATCTTCAGTGAAAAGTAATCACAAAAAGAAATAAGTTACTGAAAGGAACTAGAAGGAATTCATATATCTTTATTTTAATCAGAATTTCCAGTGCCCTATTGTCATAAAGAAATGGTCAGTGTGTACATAAATGTTGAAAATTCATTAAAAAAATTTAATTTGAATAACAAGCGACATGAAAACTAGAGTCGTTAAATAATTATTTTTCATAAATAATCAAATATGGAATGGACTTCTTTGAAAATTATTTGATACTCGGATGATGATTAACTATTCTCATAAAATCCTAAAGATTAGTTCGTTAAAGCAAATAATATATGAATTTGTTTAAGAAACACTAGGTTTTTGAATCGTTTTTTAGTTATTAAAATTGCTTAAAGCACAGATAACATGTAATTTTATCCGTATATGTCTTTGAGCATTGCGTAATGGCTTACTCCAGTCGAATGGCGGCTCATACGATTGACAGACGCCATTATCGATATTGTTTTTATCGTTCGGTTGTTTTAATTGATAGTAATCATTGAAGTTATTTGATCTTGGTGTAGTTATTTGCAACTGCTCATCCGTAACATCACATTCATCCTCAATAACATTGATCAAACCCTGAATTCTTTGTCCAAATGCCGATGCAATTAATTCAGCTTTATGTTTAGCATCTGAAACGGCTTGTTCAACAGCTTCTTTGCTAAAAGTTATTTCAAAATATGGTAAAACTGCTTATTATGAAATTTTTACAACAACAGATTCACATACAAATTTCTAAATAGCTTTTAATTAATTTAACAACATAAATCCTGTTTTTAGATGATAAATAATACTGACTGATAAAAAGTTGCAAGAGAACTGTAAACAGGACACTAAGGATTTGATTTTTGTGTGTATTAATTGAAACATAATAGACTATCCAATAAGCCACTTATATGAATAGTCCTGGACGTACTCATGACTAGACTTAGGACAGATTTGCCATGGCTCTGAAGAAAAGATGGGACTTATGGACTTACACGAGTTTGGGTTGGGACAGTTGTTTCCTTAAAGCACCATACAACTGACGCGTTAGCAAAAACATGGATCATTGGATTTTGAATCAGTGGACAAATAGTGTCATCCTCACCTTTAAAAGTCTGTGGTTTGGTAGTTCATAGGATCATTGTTACGCTATATGAATACGCCCAGATACAATGACAAAATGGGTTTCTAGCGCTCCTTTGTTGTCAGATATTCTGCGTATGGTTTTAGTTCATGACACAAACCGTTTTTGAAAACCTAACTCAATGTATCCGATTTTCACTAAAAACTGAAAAATCTCAAATGACTGATAAAAATTCCAATGGTGGTGCAACATTGATCGGCTCACAATTTCATTGAAACACAATCTCCACAACCCTATACTGATAAATATAATTTCTTCTGGCGTGCTGTAATTTTGAACCAAGTACTTCGATACCAAATTCAGTTGTTGGAGACATTTATGAGGAAGGATCGAAGCAAATGAGTGGTACTAAAGATGTCATTGCCATTAGTTTCAGTTCAAAAGGAATGAATTATACTTTATAATGTCTGAAACTAAGATTTAAAAATCCCTGATGTTAACAACTAACTAAATTTCGGCGTCATAGTTGAACTTTAAAACTCGATTCACTGTTTTTGTATATATATATTCACGATAACACTGACAATAGGTTTTTTAAAGTTCAAAGAACAAGTGCGTCGAGATTTAAGGGCGATTAAATTGATTCCCGGTAAGATTAATATAAGTTAAAGATTATAACGCTAGAAATATTTATACTGTAAAGCTTATAAAGATGTAGTTACTAAGTGTTTTCTTGAAGAAACTCCTAGATTCTTAAAATCTAACTCAGCATCCACTCCAAGAATTGTTATAAGATTCTGGAAGTCGTAAGAGACCACAACGCTAGTGCTTTGATTGTGTATAAAGTCACAAATCAAAACTACTTAAATGTCTGTTTCTTCCAAGTCAAACATCTACACCGACTGGCAGCTAGTGCAGACTCAAGATAAAGTACGTAACAAAAATATTTTTTGCAAATCACAATTGAAAGATGGATCTGTTCACCTGTTTTCATGAAGCCTTACAGACTCATTCTAAAAGAGCCCAAGAAGAAGCGATCTCATTCAGGATGGTTCTTAAGATAATTAATTTTTTATCCAGAAGTCAGTTTGTTATGTCTGGTTTATAATTTGATAGAAGAAATAGTTTGTTATTTGAATAACATACAGAATAAACAATACAGTCATAAAATTTCAACTTGAACTAAAAATCGTGATGTTATGGAACAAAACTTCTCAAATATCCAAAGCTATTCAAGAATGTTTCCCTGTGAATTTGGCCATAACATAAGTATTACGCTTTCTATATCTATTAAACCTTTTCTTTAAAATGATGCTTGAGTAAAAGCTCAGTTACAAAAAGTTGATGTATCAAGTCAAACTAAACCGAAAAGTTTTTTAATGGTGCGCTTCCTCTAAAAAGCAATTTGACTTTAAGTAATTCACTTCTTATGTACCTACAGTAAGGATAGACAACTGAATAACTGAGCTGGTCTACATGCAATCACATAGTTTGTTCCCAAAGCGATAGCGAAATGCTGAGTAAGTCATACTGAAGATCAAGAACTTATGATGTGTTTTCTGCTTGAGTTTAGATAACTTTTACCACATAGCTTCAATCACATTTGGATTGAGGGTAAAATGTAGTATTATAAATAAGAAACTTTCGGTTACCGTAGTTCAAACATCCGCTTTTTTGAATAGAAGCACTCCACGGTTCCAAGTCTTATATATGTTGGTAATTTGGACTTAAGATATCCTAAAAGGCTTTTCATTCCAGAAATGTCACATGTCGTTATCTCAAACTTATACACAGCGTTCACACCATTATCTTCTGTGACCGTGTCGAAGTGCTCGACAACGTTGAACTTCTAAATTTTGCTAAAACAAGACAATGGATAATGTAATTACTTTGAGTTGTCGGTTATAAATTACTTGTCGAGCGTATTCAGCTCTTTTTCTTGCGCTCTCTTCAGCTAAAGTGCATGTAGGTTTTTTGGAGCACACTAAGATCTCTACTTTGCAGCAGTCAGGTTCTGAGGTTGTTTCTCCGACACCAGAGACCTTAACTTCACCTGGGTTATGGACATTACCAATTGTCATCCTGTAGTCATGATTCGAAAGTGTGTGTTTACGTGTTCACTGTACAACAGTGACCGCTTTATTTGTACTTCAAAGAACAAAATGTTTGGTGGCTTGTATTAGTCCTGGAGATTATGTTCTGTAAACTAACACAAATTTTGCATTTGAACTTATCAACAGATGGAGCTCCGACCACCTACTCACTTATGGTATTCCACCTGTTGATGATTATGATTTGTTTAAAAAGGCGACTGTCGGCTGAAAAGTACTTTGCTCTGGGCTAGCGAATACTCTTGAAGTTTCCTCGTAAACTATCTGCCTTGGTAGATAAGAAAAAATGATGGTGTTACGGATAAAAATTTGTTTTAATTTGATTCAAAAACGGCAATCAAGTCACTTTTGATTCTTTTGTATAACAAATACAATAGGTTTAGTTTAATAAGTTTCTGGTCACACAGTAGCTTTATGATCTCGTGAATAAACTCAGATATGGTTTTATCAACTTCCTGCTACAGATGAATGCCATTTTTAAGTAAAGTGCTTATCACTTAATTAAAAAATGGACAAACACTGTATGCAAAGTCAAAATATATTAACATCTGTATGACTTAAGGCTTTGCATATTGACGAAAAAGTCCCAATACTGAACACTACCATGTGCGGTGTTCTCCAAGTCTTAAATGTTGAGAACTTC